CCCTGGAGTGGGGAGGGAATGGAGATTGTGCAGTATCCTTTCCCTGGAGTGGGGAGGGAATGGAGAATTTGCAGTATCCTTTCCCTGGAGTGGGGAGGGAATGGAGAATTTGCAGTATCCTTTCCCTGGAGTGGGGAGGGAATGGAGAGTTTAAAGTATCCTTTCCCTGGAGTGGGGAGGGAATGGGGATTTTGCAGTATCCTTCCCCCAGAGTGGAGAGGGAATGAAGGTTTTGCAGTATCCTTACCCTAGAGTGGGGAGGGAATGGAGATTTTACAGTATCCTGGACTGGGGAGGGAATGGGGATTTTGAAGTATCCTTCCCCTCCCACGCCCACCAAGCCATGCCCACAGAACCGGTAGTAAAAAAAAAATTGAATTTCACCCCTGGATCAGAGGCTTCCCTGCCTCTGGAGATGATGGTGCCTTCGGGTCAAGTGCCAAGACATGACCCAGCAGTTTTCTTAGCAAGATTTTCAGAAATGGTTTGCCATTGCTGCTTTCCTAGGGCTGAGAGAAAGTGGCTGGCTCTGAGTCCTCCTCCTAGCTCCATGCCTAAGGCAGGATTAGAACTCACCGTCTCCTGGTTTCTAGCCTGACGCTTAATCACTCTGCCTCTCATTCTGTATCTATATTCTACCTTATACTCTGCTTATCCTATATCATCAGATAAACTAACCCGATTCTATGAAGTTGCCTATAAAAGGCGGCTTCTGAGTCTAAATATTTCTGTCCATGAGAAGGGAGTATATCCTGCTCCCTCGGCCATCAATAGCAGCAACCACACTTAACAAATAAATATCTGCAAAAGGAATCTCTTACGCTCTATGAGGGGGCTCTCCAAATTTAGCCACTTTTTAAGATTTGCGGACTTCGACACCCAGAATTCCCCAGCTAGCCGCCCTGGGAGTGGAAATCCACAAATCTTTAAAAGTGGCTAAATTTGGAGACCTTTTTTTTCTATGAGATCCAAGCCGTTATCTTTGGAACTCTCTTTTTCCTTTTAAAAACAACATGCACGCAAACAGCCCAAAGAATCTAAAAGTAGTTTCAACATCTTTGGGTGACTCGAAACGCTACAACCCTGGATAACGGCAAGGAAATCCAAGGTTACAATTCCACCTTTCTGGAATTTTTCTTGGTTCTTTAGCAATAGAAGTTAGACTTATATACCGCTTCATAGGGCTTTCAGCCCTCTCTAAGCGGTTTACAGAGTCAGCATATCGCCCCCAACAGTCTGGGTCCTCA